CATTTCATAATTTTAAAGGACGATGAAGAAAATTCCATTTTCATAGGAAACGAACTTATGATATTTATTTCAAGTGGCGATAAATTAGATAAACGAACGATCAATAGTTACGTTGTAAAATCTCATCTTCATTTTAATGAAAATGAAGAAGATGGAAATTGAAAGAAACACGCCTGTTTTCCACTGGTTTTAATCATTGACTATACGCACTAATACCAATAATACTTCTATCCGATTATTGAATAATCAATACTGTTTCGCTGATCAACACATTTCCAATACGATTCGAGTCCAATCCAGATGAAATTATTCAGATATACACGTGTACGTCCGATCAATTTTCAACTTTGACTTTCCTCTCGCTCGCCAGTTTTATTTTCTTTCTATCTTGAAACCATATCTTTCTGCTCCCATTTGTACCATGAATTATGGACAACTCGATATATGTATATATATATATCTATCCATCTCCCTTTTCCACTCGGAAATCTCATAATCCATCCCAAGCATTTCTTATATTTTCCATTTCTAACGCAATTCCACGGAACACACGGTGAACGAGTGGATGTAAAGTGAAACACGAGAAATCCTCTTATGCAAGAGGTAGGATATGATTCACAACTCAAACATTACAGCTACAATTTTAACCTTCTTCTCTGGTTGTACAACGAAGGGTGTCTTTCTTTCCAACACACGATTTCAAGATTTTGAGCAGAAAGTATAATAATACCGATTCCTTTTATCTTCGTCCCAATTGATTTTTGACTGTTTCGTGAATTTATCCTCGAGAGTCAAGAGATTTCTATCCTATAGATGATGATTTTATTTTACTTTATTTTTATAAAAATGATGAGCTTTGATTTTCGATCGTTTCGATGATGCAATCGCGCCAATATTCATTTTAATATATTTATAATATGATAATACCCGATTGAATGGAATTCAATTAACCGATATTCGACGATGAATCAATAAATCCCTTAATAATAAATTCAAAATCCAATTTTCATCCTCGATTATACAAATGAACTTGTGCTCCAAGGAAAATTAAAAAGAATAATAATAAAAAAAAAAGGAATCTAAACTTTTCCAAAATCAATATCGAAACGATAATGGACGAATCGTTCGGTCGATTTCAACTTAATTTACAACAGAAACACTTCTAATTATTATAATTAGAATCGAACGATCTCGAAAGATTTTTCGATACAAAGCCTCGAAACTCCAATTAAAAAAAAAAAAAAATCCTTTCTTTTTTACCAAAACTTCCAGAAATGATTTTGATGATCGAGATGAAGAAAGATAAAGTAAGAAAGAATAAAATTTAATAGATGGAAATAGGAATCAAACTACGTTGTACAAACGTGCCTTTGTTCTACTATGTCGCGATGGAACAAACAAAACAGAATCAAAACAGAGCTCCCAATTCACGTATGAATATATAACATATACGGAATTCCACCTTTTTACACGTGTATAATAAACTCGACACACGATCGTAAAAATGTTCACGGTTAAACGACAAGCGATACACTCTCCCCCCTTCTGAAACGTCGTTTTGCCCCGTATCGATACGACTTTCGATTCTCCAGATATCAGAAGCAAAGATATCCGCGTCCTCTAACTCTCTGTCTTTCTCCGCCTTCTTCCTTGACCCACCTCAACGCTTGCCACGTGCGCCGTGATCAGAGACGCTGAGTCACCTCCCCACCACACACAACGATTCGAGGAAAAACTGTAGGCCAGACGTTTTCCTCGAATTCTATTCGACTCGACTTCGAACAGGTTTATAATTCGAAGGATTGTTGGTTCTTGGAAACCGATCGATATGAAACAAAGCGGAAAGTATACAGTTTCTGTAATAATAAAATTCCTTTGAATACGTTTATTCGGAGTTTCTTAGGTTTTCGAAGAGGTTTTGGATAGGATATTTGGATTTTTGAAAATTGACAAGTAAAAATGGATGCGAAAAATTTTGCATTGGAAAGAATGTTTTTTTGCATGGAGAGAACATTTTTTTGTAGTAAACGAGAACATTTTTTTGTGAAGTAAACGATAGGTTAGAAAGAAAGGGAGGGGGCGAGATAAGAGGGGAGAATGGCATCGTCATTTTCGATTTTAATAATATTTGAAAGAATATTATTATATATATTATTATTGAATATAGAATATATTATATATAGATATTAATAATAATATTAATAATATTAATAGATAAAAATATATAGATATTATATATTATATATAGAATATATTATTATTAATATTGGTGAAATATGATTGTGAATAAAATAGAATAAAATAGAATTGGAAAATATAGTTTTAACCGGATAATTCTGGGGTTTACTTAATAAATGAGATTTCGAATCGCAATAATGCAAATGAATAACGCATCAGATTTTTACTGCAAGGAAATCCGACGAGGAATCGGGTTACGAGAAGAGAGGGATTTCCGGTCGGCATGGCCGATCAATTTTTCAATCACCAGTGACTTTTTCATTGTTCCACGGGAAAAGAAATTCTTTCTCCTTCTCGGACGGGTCACTAAAACATTCCGGCCAAAAGTTACCACACGAGAATGAGAATATCACGATAAACAATTCACCTTTTCATCCACGCGAAAGGAAACATTTTCGAATATTTTATCAGCTCGAAAAATTCTCATTCCCTCTATACGAAGTTTCTCCTTTTTTCGCTATAAGGCTCCTTGTTATACCAGGCTTAGATTCTCGTTAAACTCTAATTTACACGAAGCTTCCCTCTACCAAACCCATTCTCCCCTCTTATCTTTCGCCTCCTCCCTTTTTTCCTGACCTATCGTTTACTTCAAAAAAAAAAAAATGTTCCTCTCCATGCAAAGTCCACTCGACACGTAAAATTTGTTCCTTTGAAAAATTCCTACTCGTTTTCCTACCATTTATTTCGTTTGCTTAAAATTTCTTTCTACCTGAAATTCCACCCTCCCCTCTCCCCCTCCTTGCGATTCCGCTTCCCTTGAAACTTCTTTGAGGAATAAAATTGAAAAATCGTAGTCATTCCTCCGTGTCCTTTGACCATCTTCCATTTTATACGAATATTTCGAAACGGAGGCGGAGAACGATTGACGGAGAATCTCTGAAAATCATCTGAGAATCAGTGAAATAATACACGCGTAAAGGAATTTATATTTATTAATCGATATTTCGGAAAAAAAAGAAAAAGGAAAAAGGAACAGTTTCGTAATATGATCTTTAATATGTTAATTTAAAAAAAAAATTGGTTTAGATGTTTTTATTTAAAGCATCACGATTCTAAATTCTCGAGCATAATTTTCTGTTTCTGATGTGGAAGTGTAAATAAAACGTATAGCGAAAAATTAAATTTAACACGTTATTTTTTTATTTCTAAATCCGAATGATAGAGAGACTAGTTTAGATTAGTTTTCTAATCCTTTTAGTCATTGAGAACAAGTCGAATGAAAAATTTGAATCTTTGTGAAATTTTGTTGAGCAGCTTAACTTTAGTCGGATCTGTTATCGAAGCATTTATTCCACATCGATGGGTGAAAAATCGTTTTATCTTGTTTCTTGCCAAAAAAAGAGGCTTTGTTTAATCATTCGAATCAGTGTATCTTTCGTGATTCAAATCTTTCACACGCATCGATCGAATTTTTCTTTTAATCAAAAAACGTCGATTGCGTTATTTTTCTTTGAACAACGTAAACATATCGAACGAGATATGAAAAATAACGAGATCTAAGAAACAACGCGAAATATCCAAAGTTTGACTAAAAATAAAAAATAAAAGATTTGATAAGTAAAAGATTTGATCTTTACAAAATAATAAATTATTATAAAAAAAATATAATAATTGTAATTATTATAAATTAAATATAAATAAATTATTGTAAAGAAAATAAATTAAATTAAAATAAATTATTGTAAAGAAAAGGGAGGGAAGATATGCAGAGAGAGAGAGAGAGAGAGAGAGAGAGAGAGAGAGAGAGAGAGAGAGAGAGAGAGAGAGAAAGAGGATATTCGAGTCACGTGACTAATAGAAAATTTAAATTTTCTTCTTTGAAAAAGTTCGAAATTATTCTCAGTCTTATAATTACGAGAATTAGCCTCGACAAGTTTTCCCATTCTTCTAATAGGATTTTCTTAATCATTTGCAACCGTCCTTCGAACAGCAACGGAACGCATTAAGATAAACCCTCTTAAAGAACTTAATCTTATTTTAAGTCGAACGTATTTTAACGTTCAACATTGACTGATTCTCGATTCCCCTTACTTTTCTCCCGTGTTCTCGTTATCGCGATAACACAGAGGAAATTATGCTTTTGGTCGTCTCTAGATGAAAACTTGGGCTTGGAAATTTGGACTCTCGTCGCTCTTTGCGAACGAATGTGTAATAGGACGATAGATATTTGAAAAAAAAAAAAAAAAAAAATAGTCGAATTTTAAGTGATTTTAATCTTAGTGATTCGAAGATTCGACTCGCTTTTAAAGAAATTTCTTAATAAAATTTATAGACAAATAACTTGTATATATTTCTTTTTTCGTTTAAAAATTAACAAACAAATATAAAGAAATTTTATTATTTTCTCACTTATAAAAATCTAGTAAATTTACTATTATATTTTAAATCGTATTGAAAATTATAAATATGAAGATCAAGTAAAAGAAAGAAGATGTTGTTGTTACTTGTTATCGTTGTTGTTAATTTTTAGAAAGTAAAAAAAAACCAAGGAATATTAATAATTTCATTAAGAAAGATAATTTTATATATTTTAATATACACGAATAAATATTTTAAGTAAACATGAAAAAAGTAATGATTAATGAAACAAAGAATCGTGAATTCCTTGATTTTTTTTTTGTATATAAAAAAATCTAAGATAAATAAATAAATAAAACAAACAAAGAAGAAACGTTACTATAATAAATAATCATTTAAGCAAGATGTAATCATCTATATCGAATCAATGACTAAAAAGAGCAAAAATATATAATGCGACTTACTATTAGATGCCAAGAGTATCATTATCATGATCCAGAATATCGAAAAGGCTGTCATCGAGTAGAGACAGGTGATATCTTGAGGAAGTTCCACGACGTGTCACAAAGATAAAGGCAAATAAAACGATATCTGCAGTCCAGATGACCAGGATACCCAAAGGAAATCTTCCAGGACTTGGATTGGACCGGTACACGTCGGTAGATCTTGGCTTGACATCGTTTTCCAAAAGCTAATATTTGCGATATAATCGTCGATTTCGTTCTAATGAAATTTTTTTAATCTAAAATTATGATTGAAAAACGATATCAAATTACCAGATCTCACAACGAGGGGACGATAACTACTGAAATCCATCTGTAAAAGAAAATATATAAATAAGTGAATTAATGATCGAATAAATAGATTAATTAAAATAAATAAGTAAACAATTAAAATAAATTAATAATAAGAAATTAATTACGAAACAAATATTGTACTTTAATAAATAAATAAATAAATATAAATAAATCAATGAATAAATTATATGCAAATAAATAAATGTATAAATAATTATCGTTGAAACGGTATATAAAAGATGTTAATAAATATCGAAAAACAAATGATATTGTAAATTAATTTATATATTAGTAGAATTTAACTAATGTAAATCGATCTATTCGCCACGAAGGCTCGTTGGATAATGAGCCGTTCTCGCGACCTCCTTTGTATTTATCGAACGTCGCGTAACGAAAGTTTGGCGAGAATTTCCTTTGTTTATTTATATTTCCTCTTCCAATTGCGTCGAAAGTGATTTCTCGAAAACAACTATCAATAATTTAACGATATTTCGACTTTTATCATTAATTTATCATTAATTTATGCTACCTAACATTTATTATTTATTACAATAAAAGAAATATTTAATATATTTTTACAAATTAAAAACTGAATTTTATAATTATTTTTGGTATCAATTTTCAATTTAGAGTTGTATTAAAATATCCCAAACATTATTTTACGCGAAGAATAAAACATATAAGAATAGACACGAGTTAAAATGATGGATAATCCCAGAATAATTACCATAAATAAAATTTTATTTCTATTCGTACTTGATTAAAAATGGCAAAACACGTAAGATGATTCGAAACGGTAATCATGTTTTAAGATAAAAATTTTAATTCGATTTTTTTTTTTTTTTTTTTTTAATTTACATAGCTATTATTCCTCATAGAATTCAATTCGTGCCGATGAAAATAATTTTACGATACGAGATAAGAGATTTAGAGGGTGATTTAATTTATGGAAATTAACCTTATATAGGAGGACAGATCCGATGAAACTCGAAACGGTGGATAGTCCTAATTAAGTTGCCTCGTAAATTACCGTTGCGTGTAATTAAGTAGCAGTTAGTAGTAATCCAATTGAACACGGTTGCTCTTTTCGGTACACCGGCCGAGTATAGAAAGTTAAATTTCTATGCTAGCCGGACGAAAACAAGATATTAATTACACAGTTTACAGTTTTACAACGTTTTATTAAAAATATAGCAAAGAAAACATTTGGGAAACAATCTTCCATTATTTGCCTATAATTATTTATCCTCAATTATTTGTCTGTAAATAATTTGAAAGTAATTCTGATTTTTTTTTATAAATTAAATCTACATGAATAATAAAAATAAGATCATTTTTTCTCTTCATTCTTCAAAAGAAATTTTCTTTTTCATCGGGGAAAAAAATTTATTTCGTTAATTTTTCCATCTCATCCTCTTCCTCCTTGCGCGAATTCGTTCTAAAATAATCTTTTTAAATTATATTCTACATTAAGTCTCATAAATTAATTTTAAAACGAAACGTCTTACTTTCAATAAATAACCATATTTCGCGAAAACCAATAATATATATATATATATATATATATATAAAACTGCCAATACATAAAACAATCCTCTTGTTTCTTCCCTCCTTATTCCTCCGGTAAGAGCCTTAGAAACGAATCAACCGGATGCTAAATAAATCCTACTTTTCCCCGCCTGTTCCACCGATTAATTTCACGCCGAATAAATCCATTCTCTCTCTTTAAACCTCTTTAAACCGCCTTCCATGGATCCGCCGATTTTCATGGAATTTCCTTCCCAATCGGACGTGCCGATTAATTATTTTCAAGCAACACGAACGGGCCTCCATTTCTAACATTGATGCCCCTGCGAAATGCGCGTCCCGTGTCCTCCCCCTGGATATTCCATCGTCCTTCTGTCCATCGAACTGATCGTCGCCCTCGTTTAATCGTCGCGAATTAATTATTCTTCCATTACCTTTTCCTTGCCTTCACTTATTATTCACTTTACGATTTGAAGAAGGTGGAAAGAAATTTTTTGACTTTAAGGAAGGTTACTTTTGTAAAATTACTTTTGGAAAATAATATAATGCGAAAAAATTGCTAGATTAATACTCGATAAGTAATCTTGGGATGTAAGAGATTTATTTTCGAAATATTTGTAGAAATGTGTTTAAGAATATATTTGAAGTGATGGAAGGAAATTTTAATTTTAATAGTCATCTTTGGAAAATTACTTTTGTTTTAAAAATTATCGTGGAAACGTTTATATTATGAAATTGCAAATTGGAATTGTTTTTATTTCATTTATTTGAAAAAAAGCTTTTGTATTTATCTTTATTTTTATCTGTTAATTTGACAATAATATCTATGAATATAACAAATTTATTTTCCAATTTTCAAAATATTTGCACAATGTATTCACGAATTTTATAAAAAAAAGAAAAAAGAAAAAAGAAAATTTTAACTTTAAATAGTTGTAAATAGTTTCAATTTTGTATGTTATTTATTTGAAGAATCTCTGGGTTCATCCATATTTATTTTCTCGTCGTAATCTCTATGGGACACGATACATTTTTTCCCCCAGTTTTCAAAATATTTGAAGAATATATTTTTCGGTATATATATATATATAGCTCTCAATCCCCTTAGCGATTTTGTTTCCAACGGTGACGAAACTTTGAATTTTAACTGCAATAATTTTTATAGTAACAGTAGAATTGTAAATTCAGATTATGAAACGATAAAAAATATTTCGAATAACGATAATCGAACTTCCTATGTTTTTCCTCGTTGTTTTTTTTTTCTTTTTTTTTTTTTTTTTTTATTTCGTGCTTTTTAATATAACTCCCTTCCGTGGGACTATGTTTGTATTTCCCTGGGTATACTGGGTACAATTTATACGTTCATTTCGTGCATGTTTGTGTCCCATTTTTGTATCCCGTGGAAAACAATATTTCACTGATAAATAAATGAATAAATATCACGTGTACACGTGTCATAATATAAATATTGTTTAAAATAATGTATCTATATAGGCAAAATTCCTAAACAATCCTTTAAATATAAACAAACAGCAAAGAAAAAATTTAAATCACCGATAAATTATTCAATGATTCGATAAATTTTCTGCAAAAATTTCGATAGAAACGTTTCAAATATCTAATTAAAATAATAATAGAAAGAAAACGTTTAATTTGTCATCTAAAAATTAAAATTACAAAAAATCTAAATCTAAACTTTTTACATTTCACAATTTTATTTTACACTCTCTCTGTCTCTCTCTTCCCTCTTCCAAATCAAAATATTCCTATTAAAAATATCTAATTATTAACCAAAACCTATTTCTCACAAAAATTACTCATTTATTTCTCGTTCGAGATAGATACGTTCATTCCCTCGATCAATTGTCAATTCGCAACGAACGTTATATCGCGACAAATAACTTGACGTCCCGTTCCCGTTCAGATTTATGCAAATCGGTCAGTCGCGGCCAAGTCAGTTTACACACTTGGAAACTCCGTTACAAGAAAAATCAAATTGCCCTCACGTTCTTTTCGGCCACCAGCCTGCTTTATTCATCCCATTCTGGGCATTAAACATTCATATTCTCCCTGGCGTGAATTTTAAAATTCCCCCTCCCCTCCCCTCTCTCGTGAATGTCAAACTTTCTTCCATCGTGAGACTTCCCCTTCTTTTTTTTTTTCGACATTTCTCCCCTCTCACTCTCTTTCTCTTTCTATCTTTCTCCACCTATTTGACTTAAGTACCGTGAAAAGTACCGGCCCAGATACGTAAGAGTCGAGAAACATCGTTCTTTCTCGAACGAAATATTCGACGTCATCCCTTTCCACGATCACGATGGTTTGTGAATTTCTTTTTTTTTTCTTTCTTTTTCTTCTTCTTCTTCTTCTTCTTCTTTTTTTCTAATTAGCCGGTTTAAGCAACGTATGCTCACGAGTTCTTCGAGAGTAATCGAGAGGCTTGACACGATTTCGTATTCCCGTCGCGAGTCACGTTAAAATCGTGACGTGGATATCGATGTAAATAGATATTGTTAAATTGTTTATGTTTTTGGTGTACGTCGATGGTTTATATTATTGGGGAGGGAGGGTTTAATTGTGTTTCTCGAGGGTGGTTGAGAGTAATTTGACGTTTGATTTCGCCTTTGTGTAATTTTTTGGACATGGACGATGGATGGATCAATATTAAAATTACGAGAATTGACGCGTTACGCGTTATTGTTGAATGTTTATTTCCCTCATCGTGTAATTCCCGATCAAACGCATATTTATTGCATTACAAATTTTTACACCTCCATTTCTTCTAAAAAATCTATATTTTTATATGAAGCAAATATTAGTGTTTATCGTTTCTTGTACTGTGTATAAAAATTGTTGGTATTTGTATCTACTTGTGTATCAATTTGTTAAAATTATATTTTTCTTTATACTATATTATACACATGTATCATTGAATCGTTAAACACGATTTTTTTCCTTTTTTTTTTTTTTAAATATTAAAAGTGGACGTACAATGTGCAGAAAGCCAATACAACACGCGTTTCGTTTTACATCGTTTTAAATAAATTTTTGTGTATATAAATATAAAAAGTTTCTTCTTATTGAGAATTGTTTAAGTAATAATACTATTGGAAGAATTAAATAATTAATAACCTTAAAAAGATTTAATCTTAATTATTCATCTTTGGACAAAAGTTTTTCAAACACATATATATATATATATATCTTTTAAATTTAAAAAATAAAGGATAAAAATAAAAAAAAATATTAGAATAACACACATACATCGTATTTCAAAGAAAACACTATTCTTTCCGCAATTTCTTCTCTCGCAAGAGCTCCAATATCTCTGATAAAAATGCGATCTCTCCCTTGGAACACTATAAATTCTCATTCTTAAATGCAAACCATGCGCTTAACTTACAATTTTCTTCTCCCCCCTTTTTTTCTTTTTTCTTTTTTTTTTTTTTCTCTCCTCTCCTTTTCTTTATTTACGACGATCGGCGTTCACTC